CCCACCTATCCTCCATCCATCCATCCTCCCATCCTCCCATCCTCCTGCCTATCCACCACCCACCCATCCATCCACCCACCTGCCTATCCTCCATCCATTCTCCTATCCATCCATCCTCCCATCCTTCCATCCTCCTGCCTATCCACCGTCCATCCATCCATCCATCCATCCTCCATCTATTCTCCTATCCATCCATCCTCCCATCCTCCTGCCTAACCACCATCCATCCATCCACCCGCCTATCCTCCATCCATCCATCCTCCCATCCTCCTGCCTATACCACCCATCCATCCATCCTCCCTCCCATCAGCCATCTACCCACCCACCCATCCCTCTTTTCATTCCCCAAATCAGATTCCTTCACCTCACAACTGCAGCTACTTCCCATTGCTCTTTAGGGGCAATTGCTGCCACTGAGGCCCTCCTGGCCTTTCCTATGCTCCTCTTCCCCCAAGCCACCAAAGGGAACACTCCAAAACACAGATGGGACCCTGACATCCCCAGCTGAAAGCCCTTCAGCATTTCCCCACTGCCTTTATGGAAAGTCCTGACTCTTGATTCCTCAACTGGAATCTGATCAAATTCTCCAGTGTCACTCTTTCACCAAAAGCATACCTGGAACAGCTATGTTGTCACTGCACAAACCCAGACATCCTCCTAACTACCTGTGTCACTAATTTGCCCATCTCATCATTTTCTTCTCACAATGTGTCACGCACAGCCTCTGAGCAGCCTCTCCTGATCCCTGGGCAGAGCTCCAGCCCTAGGCCTCCCCCGCTCTGCTCTTGGAATTGTTACCGTCTACCTTTTTGAACCTCCTGTGGGTGCCAGAGTCCACCCTCTACCTTGGAGTTGGTGGCCTTCTCCATAGCTGGTGGTGAAGGCTGTGGCTCTTGGCAGGGCAGGGAGGGGACTCATGGGGACTGATCCCTGAAGGGACAAGCATGCAGGGCTCAGAGGGCTGCCACTGGGCTCTCAGACAAGCCCCAAAGGACTAATGCACAGGGAAAGCCTTTTTCACAAATACTGTCTTCCCCGGGACCCACCTCGGAAGGCCCTTGGAGAATCTCAGGCCCAGGAAGCTTCCAGAACTCCCATCTGCCAGCTTCTCAGAGGCCCAGGGAGGGGCAGGGACTTGCCTGAGACCACTCAGCTCATGTGAACCCTCTTTGCACCCTCAGGGCCCAAAGACTCACCCCTCCATGCTGCCTAGAGCTGCCAGTCCAGCCTGCAGGCACAGCACAGGGAAAGGCCAGTCCCCTCCTGGTTGCCAATGGGAGGCCCCGTCCCGGGCCAGCAGGCCTGGCAGCTGGGACAGGGCTGAATGGGAGGCATTGTTGGCAGCTGACTGGGGCTTCCTAGTGGAGGTGAAGGAGGGGCAGGCAGGGATGGAGTTACAGGGCCTCCTGCCCGGCGCCTGGCCAGAACTGCGGCTCAGGCCAGAGTCCCAGGGCCAGGTTATGTGTGAGCAGCCCTGGGCTCCTCTGGACTCTGTGGGCCCCGGGCAGGGATGCCCTCCTTGAGCCTTGGTTTCCTGGTCTCTGAAAAACATGTATATATGAATTAGTCCTTAGGGTTGTTGTGGGTGTTAAGGTTGGCGCCCAGCACATAGTAGGTGCTCAAGAATGGTTAACTCGGCTCGGCGCCTATAGCTCAACCGGCTAAGGCGCCAGCCACGTACACCTAAGGTGGTGGGTTTGAATCCCCAGCCCGGACCCGCCAAACAACAATGATGGCTGCAACCAAAAAATAGCCGGGCGTTGTGGCGGGCGCCTGTGGTCCCAGCTACTTGGGAGGCGGAGGCAGGAGACTCGCTTGAGCCCAGGAGTTGGAGGTTGCTGTGAGCTGTAATGCCACGGCACTCTACCCAGGGGGACAGCTTGAGGCTCTGTCTCAAAAAAAAAAAAAAAAAGAATGGTTAACTCTTCCCCCTTTAATTGTGCTTACATGTTTACACACATTATTTAATACTGTGCATAAATTGTTCTGAAAATTCACTTTTTTCACTCGACATCTCATTATTGGGAGTTATCCAGGTTGATTCCTCTGAGTCATACTTATTCTTTATACTTATCCTGTGTGTGTGTGTGTGTGTGTGTGTGTGTATATATATATATATATATATATTTTTTTTTTTTTTTAGACAAGAACTTGCTCTGTTGCATAGGCCAGAGTGCAGTTGTGTGATCATAGCTCACTGCAGCCTCCAACTCCTGGGCTCAGTGACCCTCCTGCCTTGGTCTCTCAAAGTACTGCACATATAGGCATGAGCCGTTCGTTGCACCTTGGCCACATGCTCACTCATTTTGATTATTGTATAGTATTCCATTATTGTATGATATTCCATTCCATCAGATTTACTTATCTATTTGGACATTTTAGTACCTCCCATTTTTTCTTTTTGTTTGTTTTTAAGAGTCCTACTCTGTCACCCCGGGGTTGAGTGCCATGGCATCATCATAGCTCACAGCAACCTCCAACTCTTGGGTTCATGCAGTCCTCTTGCCTCAGCCTCCTGCGTAGCTAAGACTATAGGCGCCCCCAACAACCCCCAGCTAGATTTTCTATTTTTAGTAGAAACGAGGATCTCATTCCTGCTCAGTCTGGTCTGGAACTCCTGAGCTCAAGCAATCCACCTGCCTTGGCCTCCCAGAATGCTAGGATTACAGGTGTGAGTCACCACCACCCACCCCAAGTTTTTAAATTGAAATTAATTTTTTTGCTCTTTTTGGTCAGGCTGGGTTTGAACCTGCCACTTCCAGCACATGGGGCCAGTGCCTTACTCCTTTGAGCCACAGGCGCTGCCCTAATTAATTTTTTTTGAGACAGAGTTTCACTATGTTGCCCTTGGTAGACTCTTGGACTTAAGCGATTCTCTTGCCTCAGCCTCCCAAGTAGCTGGGACTACAGGCAGGCGCCCAGCACAATGCCAGGCTATAAACTTTAAAATATTAAATGGATACAAACGTTTTGGTTACATCACTAGCTTTTTTTTTTTTTTTTTTTTTGCAGTTTTTGGCCAGGGCTGGGTTTGAACCCACCACCTCTAGCATATGGGGCTGGTGCCCTACTCCTTTGAGCCACAGGCACCGCCACATCACTAGCTTTTATAATGCTTGATTCAATAGGCTATTAGTGTGCCTATCGCCTGAATAGTGTTCATTGTACCTGTTAAGTAGTTTTTTTTGCTGCTCCTCCATCTCTCCCTGATTCTTGATTTCCAGTGTCTTTTTTTTTTTTTAAGAGACAGTTTCACTTTGTCACCCTCGGTAGAGTGCCATAGCGTCATGGCTCACAGCAACTTTCAGCTCTTGGGCTTAGGCAATTCTCTTGCCTCAACCTCCCAAGTAGCTGGAGCTGTAGGCACCTGCCACAATGCCTAGCTATTTTGTTTTTGTTGTTGCAGTTTGGCTGGGGCTGGGCTTGAACCTGCCACCCTCAATACATGGGGCCAACGCCCTACTCACTGAGCCACAGGTGTCACCCCAGGGTCTTTTTTTTTTAGACACAGTCTTGCTTTGTCACCCAGGCTAGAGTGCCATGGTGTCAGCCCAGCTCACAACAACCACAAACGTCTGGACTCAAGCAATCCTCCTGCCTCAGCCTCCCAAGCAGCTGGAATTATAGGTGTCCACCATGATGCCCCATCAATTTTCCTATTAGTAGAGACGAGGTCTCACTCTTGCTCAGGCTGGTCTTGAACTCCTGAGCTCACGTAATCCTCCTGCCTCAGCCTCCCAAAGTGCTAGGATTACAAGTGTGAGCCGCCACACCTGGCTGATTTCCAATGATTTTTACTTCTTGCTCTGCCCATGTGTGCCCATTGATTAGTTCTAAATTATTAAAGAGCACATGGCTTTTGTTTTTCCATTCTTTTTTTTTTTTTTTTTTT